TATCATAAAAACTAGTTACAAGTTACATGTATATGAATGTAAAATAAGCAAGAGAGCATTAAGTAAAAGGATATTCATTATTATCAGTACACAAAGAGCATACATTAACACACAAATGAACAAAGGCATGTGTAGTTTGTGTACATGGTTGCCAATTATTAATCAAAAGGTGTCGTACACATAAATGTTTGCTGTACACAGTCAAAATAAAATAATAATAAAACATTGTGTGCATAAGAAAAACCCTCAAAATACGTACACAATGAAGTAAATGAACCAACAAAAATATCTATGAATGCCCTTACAGCATGTGCCCTTTCACTGGATCTACAGGCTATGATGGTATGAGCTCCCATGACCGAGAGAGCTTTAGCAGTCTCATATCCAATGCCAGTGTTAGCTCCAGTGACAACTGCCACTTTACCAGAGAGGTCTACTCTTGGAAAGGAGAGATTTGATCCCATTTTTTCAGCTGAGAATGGAAAGAATTAGCCACGCCTTTCAATCACACCTACAAAAAAGCACGCCCACGCACCTACCACGCCTACTCACATGGAGGTGCCAAGCAGTGAAGTGTTCTCTGATCTTTATTCTGGTCAGATTGATAAGCTGTGGAGTCATGAGAGAGACGAGTTGAAGCCTTACCTACCATTCATATGTAGCATTGCTCTCTCTCCCTCTCCTCTCACATCAAACGAGCCTGAGGGAGATCAGGAGTCATTCCTGATTCAAAATAACAAAGAGACTCTCCATTCCTTACTCTGTGACATAGAGGAAACAAACATCATTAAGAACTACTTCAAATTGGATTTTACATTGCTACGAAGCGATGCGCTGAAAGAGCAAGGGCTACTGAGGAAGCTGGGGTCTGATGAGGAGAGACCACGAGAGAGAGAGGAGGATGAGGAAAGGCCAGCGATCGTGTTTGAGAGAGGAAACGAAGAGAAAAGATTCCGATTATTATTGAGAGAGATACTTAAGATAATGAGTCATGTAAATAGTAAAGGAATCATTTATATGTACATGTACATGTAGCCTGTCACTTTTATTTCTAAGTTTTTTTTTTCTTTTTTTTCCCCTCAGCTTGAGTCTTCATTTGGGCTGGAAGTGTCCGACCTTTTTGAGTGTCAGGTTTGGCTAAATGAGATCAGCTATATACTCTGCATAGCCGTCAAAGGTGAGACTCAAATTCAAATTAGTTAAAATCTTTTTCTCCGCCCCCCCCCCCAGAACTCAATGACATATTGCCACTGGTGAAAGTGTGTGAAGCTTTATTAAGAGTGAAGAATGGCCCATATCTCATTTGTCGCCTGCTGGCTAATGAGCCTCATCACTACAAGAAAAGTAAAATAAAAATAATTGTATGCTGCACATTTAAATGCTTTTGTTCCGATCTCTTTCCTTCAGTTGTAACATCGCTTGTTACTAAAGGCGAGACTTTAGATGAAATATCACTTGCTGGTCGTCTCAGATCTCAGACTCTTAGAGGTCTTGTTACTCTCGTCCCGTCTTCTTCCTCTTACGTTCAGTGGCTTGCCTATACCAACCAGAAGCTACCAACGCTAATGATATTCATTGCACTCGATATTGAGGCCGGGGAGCTGGTGGGGAGCGCTAAAGGAGGAGGCGTTTTATCACTCATGAGTGACATAGTCATTCACGGGAACAAAGAGAAAAAGAGCTGGTTCTCTCAGTACATGAAACTCATGCAACAAAAAGTACATGCGTATAATAATAATTGTGATGCTTTCCTTATTAAGTTTTAAGATTAATAAAATTATTTTTTCTCTTGTTCTCCCTTCTCTATTTTCCTATAGTATAGGCGCCATCATTCGTCTGCAGTGACTGCTTTAAGGAAGTACCTCATGAAGAAGCTCCTCCATTTTATTAATCTCACTAGCAAGTCCGCTCCATCCTCTGACATCCCTCTCTCAATGGAAGTTGACGTTAACAACGAAGGACTAATGGAGGAAGAGGGAGGTGAAGAAGGAATGGATACTGCAACACTTGAGCTTGTGGACCAAATGGAGATTGAGATAAGTGAGATCGAAGATGGAGAGACAGCAGAAAGAGGAGGAGGAGGGAGGGAGGAAGGGACAGAGAAAGTTGAAGGAGGCGATGGGACCACTGAAGCCATGGAAACAATACAATCACTAGCTGTAAGACTAATAAATAAATAAATAAATTAATTAATGAATAATTTCATTCCTCCTACAGAGTAAAAGGACTCATAATAATTCGTTTACTTTCGAGCAAATTGATTTTCCAGTTATATCTCTCTCAAGACAGTTCAGTGATGAGTCAATCCTCCAACTGACGCAACTCATTCACGTCTGCTGTGCTCTCAAGGTTACTATAGCAACTAGCCACACCCATTCACTGTTCTATTTTTAGACACAAGCTAACATGTATTTGACGAACGAAGAATCGGCAGCATTATTGCATCTCATTACATGCACATGTCCGCCTTTTTCATCAGCCGGAGTTCAGTTTATTGAAGTAGCACTCTCTATTTTATTAACCTGTCCTTTCCTGATAAAGTATGTCTCATTATTTATGTGCACTTTAATTGGTATTGTGTGTATGTAATGTCAATGCATACACAATTACACATATACTGGTACATATACTTGTACTTTATGTACTACTTGTATAGTTCAGAGGATGGGGAAGAGTCTGTGTTACGTTGGATTACTTGGCTCCTAGAGAATATCCAGGAATTTGAAAAGTACAACCGTTCATGTACTGTATTATTATTAGACTTGTTGCTATGGTTATTGTTGCCAGGGCGATACCAGGTGAGAGAGTGTACGGTGAGATGCTCCTCCTTGTTGTCATTCATTTACAAGAGAAGCAGCTGAAGGAGATTGAGACTCTCATCTCTTCTGTACTGGGAATGACATTACAAGTATTATCCTTGTAGTCTATGCTAATAATTTGTTACTTTAATTTCTTTCTTTATTCATCTCTCTGTAGAATTCACTTGGTTCGGGTCATTTTTCAACTTTAAAAGACATCTTTCTTAAAGTCTTTAAAGGAGATGTGAGTTACCTACCTAGTTCTCATACACATTATAACAATGTTATATGCAGTCACTGTATCATTTCCCTCAGCTTCTTGTCAGCAAATTTTGCCAAAAATGATTAGGAGAGAATTCTTCATTTTTATAATTTTTTCTGATGCATATATGTGTTCTAAAATCACGTATCAAGTTTAAACTGATTGCGATCAAATTTGGATTTTTTATGAATTTTTAAAAGTTATTCAAAAATTTGGTCAAAGACCCTGTCTATAGTACAGGGACTTTGGTCAAATTTCGCCAAAAATGACTAGGAGAGAATTCTTCATTTTTATAATTTTTTCTGATACATATATGTGTTCTAAAGTCACATATCAAGTTTGGGCTGATTCTGATCAAATTTGGATTTCTTATGAATTTTAAAAGTTACTCAAAAATTTGGGTCGAATACCATGTACTATAATAGTACAGGGACTTTGGCCATAAGAGAGTTTTGGGAGAATATTTTCTCCTAGCAAGGACTTCTTTCACATGTTCTGCATTTGAGAATAGTATGAAAGAATATATTTTAAGGATCGGTTGTCTTTTACAGGTTGTATGCTCTCATGCTGTTAGTGTCCCTCCCACTTCCTCCCTCAGTGGTCACATGACTGGGTATCTCCCTGTTCACTGCATCCTTCAGTTGATGCGTTCCAAGGCGTTCCGTAAACACGGTGTATTTGTAAAGGACTGGATATATAAACAGCTGGTGACAACCGTTGAGCCCGTCCATCCTGACCTCCCCTCTCTCATTGAGGAGTATGTACAAGCAATACTAGTCTCACCTTTATCAGCTTCAAGTCATGCTAAATCACGCAGGGCTACCATTGTACAGGTGAGCGTGGCCTTAATATTAACCCATTCATATTATAGATTATGAAATAATTTTTTTCTTTAGATACCGTTTTCTGCTGAAGAGGTTTTAAGTGTTTTTAGGTTTGACGATGTTCCTTCTGAGTCCTCAATGTGCTCTAAGATATTGATATTGTATTATGTACTTTATTATCAAGAAACTTACCTGAGTAATCTCAAATCGTTATGTAAGAAAAAAAAAGAACTTTTATATAATTTTAAATCGCACATTTTCTTTCAGTGGTATCATCTCACAGTGATGCCCCTAAGGCCTACAGCCCCAGCGTGTTACTCCAGCTGCCTGTTAAGAGGTTGTTGCAGCATGCCACTAACAATCAAGTATGGCAGTACATGTAATTGGGTTTTTTGAATATTTTTTTCATTTATTTCCCTTGTGCCTATCTTTTAGGAAGCATTTTTAACAGTGTATCCTTCTTTATTGCGTATGATAGTAACACAATTCCCTCAACTCTATCTTCCTGAGGACTGGATCAGACAAGATGACATTAATCAAAGTATCATCAGTTTTGTCTTCTCTTTAATTGACTCTCTCTCTCTCTCTCTCTCCAGGTAGTTTGAGTTCAGGATCAAGATTACGTCTATCTTCAAAGAAGGTCACACCGGAAGTAGCATCTGCATGTACGCAATACTCAGTAAACTTCAGTATAACTTTGTGCATTTTTTGTATATTTCAGTGCTATCTACATTGAACACAAAGCCGTCTGATGCCATGCTGGTCCTGACATTCCTTTCTTCTCTTCCGGTCACTTCTCTTGTTCCCTTTTCCTCTTCTCTTGTCTCGTCTCTCCACCTCCTCCTTGAGGACGGAGTGAGCAAGAGAATACAGCAATTATTCTCTTCACTTTGGATGAAGCTAAACTCCGTCATACCAAGAAGGTGTGGTTTCATTATTATTATTATTATTATTATTATTACTATTATTATTAATTGCAGGTTGTGGGTGGAGACTGTAAATGCACTTCGTTCTGAGGATCAGAGGACCTACCCACTTTGCACTCACCAGACTATTCTAGAGGATCCTCTCATTGTCCTCCAGTGCGATCTGCGAGTTTTTAGGTAATACACTCAGACTCATTCCAAAATAATTCAGTATCATGCTGCATGATTTTCATTCCCATACTTGGCTACATTAAAAAATATATTTTCCTTTATTTAGGTGCTCTTGTGTTTTTGAGATATTACTCCGAGTGCTTGCAGCTTACACTTCAGCCTCTCGTGTCTGGCTGTTGGAACACTCGCACAAATTAAACTGTATGTCACAAGCCAGCAACGATCCATCAGGTAATCCTCTGTACACCAGTAGTATCAATGTTAATCGTACCATCCTTTTAGTGTATCACTTAAGTTCCCAAGAGAGAGAGGAGTTACGTGTTGCTCTTACAGCTGCACAAGAGAGTGGGATTATCCAATTGTTACTGGAAATATGTCTACCGAATGATAAAGACAGGGAGGTCAGGAAGCAAGGAGAGAGGGAGGGAGAGTTTAATTATTATTTGTTTTATGACAGGAGGCCAGTGTATTGGGCCCACAGTTAACTGTACTCAGGGAAATACAGTGCCTAGTGTGCTCATACCTTCACCAGGTTAGTTGATACTATTAATAGCTATGTATTCTATTGTTGTTCTATTTATAGGTATTTATAAGTGAGCCTAGTATGGTCAAGTTGATTCATTTCCAAGGCTATCCTTCACAGCTTCTCCCATTGTTAGTTAGTGGAGTCCCATCAATGCATATCGCAACTGATTTCCTTCCTGAACTACTTGCACAGCCACAATTAGAGAAACAGGTAATAGCTTTACAAAAATTAAAACAAATTAGTAGTTAAATTCTGTTAGTATAACCATGAAATAATGCACAATCAATCTAAACATGATCTTGTCTTAAAATGAGTGTTATTTTATTTTTTAGGTGTTTGCCATTCAGTTAGCAGCTCACGTGATTCATCAGTATCCTTTGCCTGAGTCTGTTGGTCTAGTAAAGGACTCGATATTCAAGAAACTTCACAGATTTATTGACGAAGTTCCTTCAAAGAGACAGCATGGGGTCTTCTTTCCTCTTCTACCAGCAATGGTACTCCTCTGTCAGACGTTCCCTCCATTGACTGTTGAGGCTGTAGATTTCCTATTGCATCTCTGTAGAGTGTGTTTGGTCAATAGTTTGCCTGGTTACAATGGAGGTACAACACTACCCCTGGATGCCAAGACTGTTCTGCATGCTTCATGCAATCCACAGCAGCTCAATATCACTCCTTTTGATAAGGATGCCAAAGAGTGTCACAGTAACAAAATGACTTCTCCTTTGTTTTTATTGGAGGAAAGACTCAAATCCCTCAGGAATCTGAGTCTCGTTGAAGGCGCTAGATGGGCTTTTGATGAAATATCCAAGACAGTGCTGATGAAAGTCAGCTGTAAAACCTGAAATGTGACTCTGCATAGTTCATTACTATAATTTATTTTTAAAATTATAAAAATATTCATCCTCCACCCTGGACCACCCAGATCATGCCAGCAGTGCAGTGCAAGGATAAAAATCTGCTTGTCTGGCAGCTCATGGCAGCCTGTGAGTTGTAGAGTGTACTGTAGACAATGATCCGCTACCCGAGTACCCATTTCATCTAGAATGGCGGAGTCTTTCAAATTAGGTTGGTTACAAATAACTTTTCTCATTCAGACTGAGTGAGAAAAAGTTGTCTATAAACTCTTCCTTTTAATACACAGATAGTAGCCATTTACCGATAATTGAAGAAGCTTTGAAGGCCAGCGCGTTTGATGCAGCGAAGTCCTTTGACTTGGGGTTACTCTTGGGATTATCAGCTCACATTCCTTATGAAAGGCTAAAATCTCAATCCTTGGATAAATCTAGCTTCCAGAGCCTCTTGTTGTGTTATTTAATACTTTGGCTAGAATCTGGAAATGCTACAGCTGAGAAATTGGTCCAATCTTTAAAATGTATTGATGAAGATTTGGCTGGAGAGAATATTGAAAAATGTAAGTGTTAAAATGGGACTTATATATATACCTTAAGGAGACAATTGTTTGTGGGTATTTAATTTAGCGAATTTTAGTGATTTAAAAAAAATCCCTAACTTAAGTCCGTGCTATTAAATTTTAATTTCTGATTATATTAATATACCAGTATGTACACGCTAATTATTGCTCCTTAAGGTATACTGAAATGCATGAATTGTAAAAAGATAAATATTATTATTAGAGATTATTTGTTATATATGAACTTTTTAGTATTTCATCCAGCTAGTCAACTTCTGATGTCTTACAGTGACAGATTGTCCCATTTACGACTCAGTGATGACCTAGTTGCTGAAATGAAAGATTTGATATCAACAAGCAATAGCAACTTACTGGCTGGAGAGTCACTGATAGAAGCTTGTGTTTCAATAGCTGAAGATCATAGCAAGCTGAAAGTGTTAAGTGACCTCTTTCAAAATTGTGATAGCTATAAGCTACAGGTGCTTGGTAAGGATATACTGAAAGATTATGGTAAGTGATCTCAACTACAGGACAATAACATCATTTTAATGGTTATTATTATTGTTGTAGAGCAATTGTCTGGTAGTGTGTTGGCTAAAAGTTCGCTGTTTCCAAATCCAAAAGCAGGTATCATAGTCATAACTAGTCATAACAGCAAAAAATCATTTATTTTTAATAGCCATACTCTATTAAATAAAAAATTATTTTTAGAATTAATAGTCAATCCAATTGAGCAGAGTAACAATGAGAATGGGCAACCAGTAAGTAAAGCATCATGCATTCATGCTATTATAATTTAATATTTTAGGTGGAGTTTGATGGCCCTAGTATTGCTAAGTACGAGAAAAGCAGGAAAAGGCCTCGTGGTGTAGCAGTGATTATCAATAATGTTGAATTTGAGCCTGGAACGGGCCTTGAGAATCGGGCGTCATCTGACAAAGATTGTGAAAATCTTGGTAATCTATTTAAAGATTATGGGTACGATCTTGTTGAAGTTAAGTGTACACGTAACTTGAAAGCTGACGAAATGAAGAATAAGCTTACTTCGCTAGTTCCTACACTACAAAATGACCACGATAGTTTTATATGCTGCATTCTCTCCCATGGCACAAAAGATGGAGTCCAAGGGACAGATGGAGTAGCTGTACCTATCCAAAAATTGACTGAAATTTTTGATGGAAATTATTGTCCTGCCTTAATAAATAAGCCAAAAATCTTTTTCTTTCAATTCTGTCGGGGTGATTCTACACCAGTGTGTGTTACTTTGCCCCCAAAAGACAAACCGCAAGAAAAAATGGGTTTTGACGGGAGTCAAGCTCCGCCACGCATGATGAAGTTGCCACACAATGCAGATTTCCTGTTAAGTTATAGCACATCTGATGGTACTATGGCCATGCGAGGCCCTACAACAGGATCACCATACATCATTACACTCTGTGATGCCATCAGGAAAAATCCTAAACGCAGTATTGATGAAATTCTCCTACTTGTCCATAATAAGGTGGCTACTGGTGATTGGGGTGAAAAGTATGACTATCAGCAAATGCCTGAGATGATAAGTACTTTGAGAAAAAAATTTTTCTTTAAATAGTTTTCATTTTGCTTCATTTGTATACTTTATATAATAAGATACTTTTGGTTTTTTATTATTATAATACAATAAAACTAATGGCGAGAGTGTTTTCTCTTGTGCTTTTCCTATTAATAAAGAGTATACTGAGTAAAATACTACATTTAGTAGATAAAAAACCTTTTTATGTGAAGATGAACTTTTTCTCTTGTGATGTTTATGATGATCATGAGTGGTGTGTGATGAACTGAATTTTTCTTCATTTTCTGCTTAAAATATGCAAAAATAATAATAGCAAGAAAGCAAAAATTGTGCGTACTGTTGTAAAATTTTAAGCAAATATTAAGTAACCTGTGAAATTAGGTGGAAGAGGAGGGCCAAACACTTCTTGAGTGCTTAGATTATCATCTTGTGCAGTTTCTACTACTTTAGTACTATTTTTAACAGTAGCTGGAGTAGTACTAGCCATAGGAGGGAGAGCTTGAGGAAGAGGTTGGACTACTGGAACTATGTCTGATAGATTTTTCCATTTCTTTTCTTGTATTTGTGGCTCATCATTGGAGGCTATTGCTTCTTCAGTGTCACTAGAGGCATCAGCAAATATTGATACGAAAGTTTCCATTGGTGGTCTTTCAACATCAGCTTGAAGATCCTAATAAAAAGACATACTCTTTCAGTTGCCTCCTTAGCGCAGTCGGTAGCGCGTCAGTCTCATAATCTGAAGGTCGTGAGTTCGATCCTCACAGGGGGCACTTTTTTCTTTTTTTGCTCACCTCCATTTCTTTTTCTTCTAAATTATGATCCTCTTGCTCCTCCTTTTCTTTTTCTTCTTCATCTTCCTCTTCTTCTTCTTGAACAACATCCACAGCAGAACTACTTTCAAAATGAAGTACTTTATTACTTGAAACAGGCGCAACTGCAGCAGGAACTCCAACAATTTCTGAACTAAAATAATTCATAATAATAACATACGTGTAAGCACCATCATTGCAGTACTTTGGGTATGGATCAGGCACGTTGAATCGTTTACAGATAACACGATGAGGATACCAATCAAATTGCTCTCGTGTCATGACACCAAACAATCCAATCTTGGCAGCTTCTGATGCGTCTTCATCATTCTACATATCTAAAAAATCAAACATTACATTATTAGAAATGATTACTTCATTTTTATCGTCCTGCACATCAGCAGTGACTCCTCTAGTAAACTTGTCTGATAACGCAGTACTTAATGGTTTGAGCAATCTCGCTTTGCGTGAAAACTCGTCCAATTCTTTCTTTCTCTCCCACTCAGTAAAAGAGCTGGTTTCGCTGTCTTAACAACTTCCATTAACCACCAACTGATGACATTAGCTTTAACGTACCATTAAATTTCCTTTTTCCACTGAGATACTGCTCGTATCTCAATTGCTTGGCAGGTGAATCACAGAATGGCTGATAGTCACCAGAAATCATAGTCTGCCCTACAGCACTTAAAGGAGCTGTTCTATTTACTTGAGTGTGTGGCTGGTTTGTAGTACTTCTTGACTGTTGGGCCTTCTTCTTATTGTCAGACCTGTATAAAATAAAAAGCATGTGAAAAGCACATGCATATCTACATGTACATGTACATGTATGCACGGGGCTATTGTATTGACTGGCTCAATTCTGGAGTAATTTTATAAAATACGTAAAAATCTAATTTTGATTGAAATCAGCTTAAACTTTGTAAGTACATGTATACGCATCAAAAACCCATTGGTTCCATTGTCACGAAATCCGTGACAAGCAAAAACCTATTTGTTTCATTGTCACATAATCTGTGACAAGCAAAAACCCATTTGTTTTATTGTCACGAAATCCGTGACAAGCAAAAACTCATTGGTTCCATTGTCACGAAATCCGTGACAAGCAAAAACCCATTAGTTCTATTGTCACGAAATCCGTGACAAGCAAAAACCCATTTGTTCCATTGTCACGAAATCCATGACAAGCAAAAACCCATTTGTTCCATTGTCACAAAATCCATGAAAAGCAAAACCCATTTGTTCCATTGTCACAAAATCCGTGACAAGCAAAAAACCAGGGACTTTGACCAGATTTTTGAGCATTATTAAAATTCGTAAAAATCCAAATTTGATCAGAATCAGCTCAAACTTTCTACACAACATAAGTACATGTACATGTATCAGAAAAAATTATTCAAAAAGTTTTTTCTCCTAGCCATTTTTGATGAAATTGGGCCAAAAACCCTGTGCAAGTACGTAATGTTTGTGTAAATTAATGCTGCTTGAAATATGTCACATACTAAAGGTCTCACTTTGATTGACTGATGATATTGTCGATTTTCTTTTTATCTTCAGAGCTCACATAATCAAATACTGATTTTTTTGACTGATCACTTACAATGTTCTGTCTCTCATAGGCAGATAATGGCAGTCCAGTCTGTGATACTAGCAACAATAATCATTAAATGATATTTATAATACACACATGATCCATTGTATATAGTCACCTTCTATGGCTGTAGTTGTAAATTTATGAATTGGAACAAAATCCTTAGGAACATATGGTGGCGGATATTTCTAATAACATACTACCAATGATTTTATTAAAGTTGACCTGATTACCTTTAAAATATTACCATGCCTGACTTTAACAAAAGCAGCAAGGCTCCACAATTCTAAAAAACATACAAAATCATTATGAACGCCACAAAAGGCACTAGCTTTGACAATTGACACTATACTGTATGATATTAGGTTCAAAAATAATCTCAAAGTAGATCAAGCTCATAATTACATTATACCAAATTTAAGTAGCTATAACATATTTATCATACCAAGTCAGATTCAATTAATCATTGAATCAATTTAAAGTTCAGTTTCAGTCCCAGCTCTGTCGTTACCTGATGATATGGCACCAGTCCATCCGTATTTCAACGATCCACTGAGCTCTTGCTCACTGGACAGTGTGTGACTGTATGCCGTTAGACTCTCTTGTGAGTATATGTCATCATCGTCCTCTTCCAGTGCACCCACTCCAAATGCCTACAAATGAATTATTATCATTTGTTGTACGTAGTAAGCATAAGGTTAGGGTACAAAGGATATGAAGTATAGAAACAATTGATTGACATAATAATAATAGTAATAATAACAATAATAAACAATAAATAAATGATTTTTTACTTGTCCAGACATTCCATACAGGTCCTTAGTAAATGTACTGGATGACAATACTTCTGCATCCATCATTCCCTTGTACCCTATACCATGTGTATTGTCCTTAAATGTAAGCTGCTTCCATGGTGCAATGTCTTTTGGCGCAAACATAAAATCATTGCTATCACTAGCACCAGGCAGGGAACATCCATATACTTTATGGCCTGAGGGGAAAGAGAAGATGATTTTAAAGTGAGTACATACTCATAATATACCTTCGCTCTCTGGAGCAATCTTAGGTCCCACCCCTTGGCCCTCCTTCCATCCCATTGATTTCAACAGTCTAGCTCCAATAGTCGAGCGAGTTGGTATAACCAGGTCCTGAAGGGGAGGAGCCCCTGGTATGACACTGGGTGTGGCTTTTGATGCCGAAAAAGACGATTTCTCTTTTTCGAAATCCTCTCTAGTGGAGACTAGTCTTGGAGCAATGCCAAACACATCAAGATCCTAATTAGTTAATTAATTAATAGGTGTGGTTTTAATAGGTGTGGCTAACCTCTTCATCCATGAAATCCTCAGGTCTCTGTCTCTTTGATGCAACTTTAGAGGATCTAGAGGAGGAGAATACTGCTGGGCTCCATCCTTCCTTGGTACCGACTGTATTAAAGTATCCAGCGGAGAATCCTCCGGTAAAGGCTCCGTGAAAACGACGTCTTCCTTGCTTGTCCAACACATATTGCTCTTTGGCTTTCTTTTCCTTTGCTTTGACGATGTCTTCGTCCGTTTCTAATATCTTAAAAGCTTTGCCAGTCCGCACAAACGTTTCCTCATCGGAATCATCGTGTCGCCTCAAATCCGCCATGTTATTTCAACCACTCCCACATTAACGCCCACTCTCTTAATTAAAGAGAGAAAAGACACAAAAATTGAGAGAAAAAGACAATAAAATGACATGATTTAAATTTGTCATTAAAATTATAACAACAATGTTCCATGTATCATAATATTATTTAATATTATTATTATTATTATTAAGTTATTAAGTTTAATATTAGTTGGCTAGAGCTAATTTCATTTTTTATCATACACTTAAGAAAGAGACGTGAGGAGAGGAGAGAAAAAGAAAGAAGTCAAAAGTATCTCTCCCTCCCACCCTCCTTCAAAGTAACTCGTATCTGTGGAGATGAATGCGTTGAATTATATCACGACAGGACTCAAAAACTCTCCTTATATTCTCAGTATCGACTGCTGTGGTGAAGTGAGGGTAGCAGAAATGGCGTCCATCATTTGCACCCCGACTGCTAATGCGCTAAATTTTAAAAGTGAGGGAAAGGGAGAGGAAGAGAAAAGAGACAAGTTTAGAGAGTTGGATCTTATCTCAAGTTTTTCTTACCAAAAATTGATCTCTGATAAAGAACCTAGCTCTAAGAACAGTCTCTGTGTCCCCCTGCTCCCTCTTTTCTGTATTAAAATAGTCACTTCAATAGCAAATGTCCATTTATTTGTGAATTACCTGATGCTTCAGCTGGTGGTCTGTATGATGAAAACTCGGGAAAGTAATCTTCCAAATGGAAATGCTTCCCTTCAATCTTTTCCTTCAAAATGTCCATCTTGTTGAGAAAAAGGATGACAGAGACATTGCGTAGCCACCTGCAACAAAGTAATAAATAATAATAATAATAATGACACCAGTATATGCATGTAAACTGCCTGTACCTATTGTTCCATATCTGCTCAAATAGATTCAAAGATTCTCTCAGTCGATTCTATAAATGAAATGGGGAAATGAAAGCTACATATGGTAACAAGAAATCGCTTACAGTCCTGTTGTCTTCTCTTATTACCATGTTAAAGCTACTAGAAGCCACTACGTATATTATAGCTGTGACATCTATAAGAATGATATTTTAATTTAATAACAAATAGGAGCAAAGCTAGCAATATCAACAAGTGCGCACCATTGAAACACTGTATCCACTTGCTTCTTTCCACACGCTGTCCCCCAACATCAAACATGCTATAATAATAATAACATTAATAAAGATACTTTCAATATACAAACCCACACACACACACACACACTTACTGAAAATGAACCTTCTCAATAATGAAATGTGTCTCGTATATCCCTTTTGTCATTCTTCGGGCTCTTAATATGTCCTATTGGGTGTGGTTCAAATACAAGTCACTACTTATACCAATATACTAAACTCACATCGTCTGAGGGTAGGTAATCTGGATTAGCAACTTCACGTAGTTTCGAATTTTCCATGAAACTAGGCAACAGAGATAGGTGGCAGAAAGGAGGAGGTGATAATGATGAATTAAATATTCATTATTAATAAAAGCCTTACTATGGTGCACAATCAATTAATTGATATTCATTTGATCTTCGAAAAGCTTCCTGAACACCTTCATCATTCCACAAAGCCTCGGCATGTTCATAAAATTCCTAATTATCAGGAGAAGCATTCGCGTGTCACGAAGACGTAATATTTTCCTACTTACGGGTGAAAAGTTGGTCTCATATTCGGGTAAAGGGGTGATAACATTCTGTATGTAGCTGAGCCTTAGCTGATTTCTCTCATCTTTTAATGTAACTGGAGGGTCTAGCTTGTCCATCTGTGACGTCACAGTCTATGAAAATAGTAAAATATATGTCTCTCTTATTTCTCTGACTATCCCATGATTACCTGTATCACTTCACGAACATTACTTCTGATATCGTCAACATTTTGTAATCTTTCCCTACAAAGAGAGAGTGACACGTATACACATATTCCTCTTACTCTTTTGAAAATCCGTTGACATGAAGGATCTTCATTTGCTTGACAACTGTTGATTTACCTGACTCACCAGCACCTTAGGAAAATGAAAGAGTAATTTATATTGTAGTACTGGAGTGGAGAGGGTGGGAAAAATGGTAAGGGGAGGGAGAAAAGGGGGGGCCAAATAAAGAAAAACTGGAGTACCTAATAGTAATAATCTGTGTGTTGACTTGTATTCCACTTTCTCCTTCCGAAGCTGCTGATCAATTTCTTTACTCTTTTCCTTGCGTTGCCTCTCTTCCTCGGTCAGCGGTTCCCCGAAACAACCCAAGGCACTCATCTCGGCTGGTCAGCTCTTGTCCTAAACAAAGAGAGACAAACGGTATGCGTGTTTTGCTACACAAAAAAATGAGGAAGAAGGAAGGGAGAACGAGCTTACACAACTGGAGTAAGGTGCTAATAGCGTTTGTAGGGAACAAACAAAGTGCGAGATAGATGAAGTCCTTATCGCCTTCCCCCTCTAACCTTCCTAGGCCTCTGTTGTAGGAGAAGAGGCTAAGAAGAAGGAGGGAAAAGAAAGAGAGAGACAGAGAGAGAGAGGGGCTGCTGATGCCAATATCACAAGCAACAACAATGTCAAATATGGACTTGATTGATTTAGTACCGACTCCACCCAAACCATCTAGATTTATAATAGAGGTGTGGCCAATGGCGTCTGATGTTGGTGGATTACTTGGACCACAGAGAAGGCCCAGTTCTAGGTTAGACTCGTCTCAATTCACCAGGCTACACTCTGTACTTTTTGTTTAGATATCTAAGGTCCAGATATGTAGCTACACTGGGCAGCAGTTTGTCTGCAAAAGATAAAAGTAATGGCAGTGACAATGCTTCCATTGCCTTGGAGCCATTTGTCCAGAATGACACTGAAACCGATGGAGGTATGGAACTCTTTAATTATTGACTGTGGGTTTTACGATTGCATGTGCAGTCCATGGAACTAGATATCGCCAAATTGTTGACGAAAATTTCGAAACGGTATCTTTCGCTGACGTGGAGACAGCCGAGCAAGAAGAATTCAAATTTTTGTTGAAAAAGGTACGTCTGTCCTTCCCCTCTCTGCCTGTCTTTAATGTTTCGTCACCACAGGAGCTGAGTGCAAAGAGGGCGTGCCTCCATAAAGGACTGTTATCTAATATCATATTCTTTACGATATTAGTGGTGGGCGTAATACTGATGGAGATATCATTTCCATCTCAAGGGCCGCGTAGTTACATTAACAATAATAATAATAATAGCAAATGTGAAGATAATTTAGGAGTATGCATACCTTTACGAAGCTTAAGATCTTTCGGATTCTTTGGATTAGCTAGTTAGAAGAAAGAGTGAGAGAGAGAGAGTGTGTGGCATGCTCATGCAATACAGTGTGTAAGGAGAGAAGAGAGATAAAATGATTATATATACATGTATTTTTAATTTCACTGTAGTTGGTATTATTAATTGGTTGTTTATCGAGTTATTGTTTAGAAAAGTTTTGTGTGTTTTTGGAAGGTAAGCCTACTGCTGTCATATATACATACATAGTCACTCTCTTGACCTCTGCTTTTCACCTTTCCCCCTCCTCCTCCTCTCTCTGTCATACCTTCTCTTATCTTTCCTTCTTCCTTCCAGTGGTTTAATACAAAAACATTATGGAGAGATTATCAACGGATTCAGAGACGTCATAGTTGACGTTATATTCGATACGGAACAATTGCAGAGTTTCTTTACAGAGAAAGACGAAAGGATCAGGAAAATCTTAAAACTAGGTAACACGTATAGGTTTTTGGCTTTATTTATTTTGAATTTTTGGGGCATTAGAATCACGCGTGAGTGGATTGCTTGATTCTGATGCTGCACAGAAAGTTATAGATAGCAAAATTGATAGCATATTGGCCAGCCCTCAAGGTATTGCAACTACTATAGACATGCATGTACATGTACAAATTATGAAAAAAGGATATTTGCCACTATTACTATTGCTAATATAATAGGTATGCATCTGCTAATGATGAACGTAGATGAAGAGAAAGTTAGAAGAATGCTACAAGTCAATATTAGGACATTCATTGACAATGTATCACCAATGGTAAGCCATTATATGTAACATCACTTACTCTGCATGTACATGTACATATACATTAATAACCATATTTACCATTAGATTTATAAACGACTAGTAGCTCCTGGTATATCAGATGCACAAAGCTTAAAAAGTGAAGTAAGCCTCCCTCCCTCTCTCTTGTGTATCATCAAACAAATACTTCATTCAACAGATAACATATATACTTGAACCAAAAATAACACAACTAATGCCCAAAGATGTCAACAAGGTAGAGCATGTGTGTGTGTGTGTTACCATATGTCGTGAAATGTATAGATTGTTGCTGCAATGATACACAAACACTTGAGTTGGCTAATAATATGGGGCAACCTGTTTGGAGGACTGGTTGGATTCGTTAACGAAATCATCATACTTATTGCATTACTTATTGTAAAGGAATAACAATAATATTAATTGTTATAAATATTTGTTTATTTGCTTTTATTCACTTTCTTTTTTAATGGACCCTTGCTATCACTAGCCTTATAGTGTAAAGAGAAGGAAGAGAGAGAGAGAAAGAGAGAGAGAGAGAGAGAGGAGAGTTTTTAAAGGAAGACCAAGAGACACATCACATACCTTTCTTTTGATCCCTGCTTTTGGTGAGGGTGCAGCTTTAAAGAAAGAGTCTAGTCTCCCCTGTGTTGACCCTTGCTTGCTCTTCAGTAACTTCTTGACACCATTTCTAATCCGATCCTCACTAGTCAAAGAATAATGATAATTATCCTACACGTCTTCTGTGTGACGTACCTAAACCCTTTCTCTTCAACAAGGAATTTTACAATCCCCTCTTCATCAGGATTACCCCATTTTAACTACATAATACAAGAGTATGACATAACACAGAGAGAATAATACATGCATATAATGTCACTAATAGCAAATGGAGTTAATATGCTCTATAAGAGTCTAGCAATCAATACGTACATTAAATGAATAGAATTATCAAATTAGTTGGTACATTCATCGACGGAATATCCCATAGACAAGGAAGTGTTAGTTTTAAAGTACAAAATAGTCAAGTAGTAACGAAGTCTTAATGAAGTGAAGATTGAAATAGATCAAGTGACAAATTGAATAAATCAAGTGAAAATAACACTAAGTAAGGCTAGAAAAATGTATGCCACATCACGCCATACTTCTAATATAGTATAATACACACTGTATACTATAATACACTAGAATACGTGGGAAGTGTTTAATAATAGAAATTGAGTAAATTTGACACCTCAATAGCATTCCTATTCATAAGTAATATACGATTCTGGGTAATTGGTTTTGCTTATTTCGAGGCTTGGAGCAACCATTACACTTAAATGAAGTCTGTAATACAAATCTCCATTATGATAAGACATGTACATGTAGTTGAGTGATAAACTGATGCTCTAAAATATAGTCATTACTACCTCAATATCATCTGCTGGACTGACATCAGGCTCAACAAATAATCTTCTTGCTTCCTATTAATAACAATACAGAGCATAATTATTATCAAAATAGCTTTCATAATTATACACAGGCATAATAATAACAGCTTAACTAAACCAACAAATCATTAGCAGTTTACTTTAGCGTGCATTGGCTGCATTTATGAGCTTCAAATAAGTAAAATGTAAAGGAAGTGAGTGGAAGTGAGAATTGCTTTCTCTTAGAAAGAAAGGCTACTATTTGCTTTGTCTGTGTATTTGTTTGTTCACTCATTTGCTTACTTCAAAAGGCCAATTTTCAGGAATTTGATACTTCTGTGTAAATAAAAAACAAGCATATACTATAAGATAGCATGCTGCAGGCACACCTTTCCAGACAATCCTTTAAGTATTTTCTCAATGTTTCCATGTTGCCTTAGCAGCTTCATAGCATTAACTGGTCCAATACCTAAAAATAACCTAATGATTGTGTACAAGTGTTGGATATAATACATACCTTTAATAGAGTCACAATAATCACATCCAAGTAATATGCACAAGTCAATAAACTAATGCAAAGAGAGAAAGACCAACGGATTCATTGAAAGGCTGCACTGACGTACAGTAGTACTGCATTGAAAGGCTGCTATTTATAGTGCCGCAGGTATGAAACATATCAGTGATAAGTGCGTCTCGCTCCAATAGACACTTCTTTGATAGCAATGCAAACAGCTGATAAAACGTGCACGGATATGTACGAAAATAAACAAGACAAGGGAGAATTTACATTGGGGCGTGTTTGGGGACTTTATATGGATGCATAGTCTTTAGTTAGTGATAGTTATTACCTGGGATTGGTCCATATCTAGTTCTGTCAAAGCTTTAGATAAATTTATTTCACGAACTGGTAGCTTCCTAGTTGAGGTATGAGCAAAAAGGGAAGAGAGAGAGAGAGAGAGAAAGATAAGGAATAAATTATAAATAATACTTATTCATCATTACCTAGCTTCACTAGCAGTCAAGTTACGAACTAGTATGCTAGAGCCAAAGGTAAGTGCATCCATATCCTCAGTAGCAGTAGCATAGACTTTACCAGCTTTAGTTAATGCAGCACACTGTGCTTCTGCTTCACATGGAGCCTAGTATTAGTCATACTAGGAGTGCTGCAATGAATGGATATTACTTCAACATAAGGGATCCCCATTAGGGAGAGTAACTTCTTAGCCTCAGATACATGCTCAGGTGTTACTTTAACCTACCAGAAACATCCAGCCCCATCGTTTACTGTCATACACATGGCTTACTAGTCTCTTTTGAAACTTTTCTACTTCTTGAATGTCTCCTGCATAATAATACCATTTGAATTGCTCAATAATAAAAACTTTTATGCTAATAATAAGTGCTCGTCTATTAACATTTGGTTGTACATAGTCTAAGAGGTTGTTTACTCCCATAAGAAAGAAAAAATGTTAATTAGAACTTTGCATCCCCTTGTGTTAGTGTGATTTTAAATGGTGTGATTTTGTTTAAGAAATTCGGCATGCAACTTTAGCACAATCTTAAAAATTCTAAAATTAACTATGCCACTTAGCATCAATCACCACCACAGTCTGACTGATTGGTACGAAAAATAAATCAATTTTAGTGACATACCTTGTTCCTCTGCCTTTAGCAGTTCCTTCTGGGCTTCAGCCCTTCTATCAGCTCTTTTAGCCAGCTGAAAAAAATAATTATATACAAATTGTAACTCTTAATTTCTTTTGCTAACTTCGCCAGATTTCATTGTCGGAGGTTTTCCGTCAAAAACGTAGCTAATTAAAAAACAAGTTATTAAAAGTTATTAAAAGCTTACACCGGCTTTATGCCATTATCAACCATTCTTATTGTCCGATAAAAGAATCCCATTAAGTGACTGTATGGCAGGCATTAATTAGAAGTTTTAGTGTTTTTTTGACTAACCTTGTAGTCTCACCACTCTCAGTCATCAATACTTGTCCGTCCTGTCTGACGGCTATCAGAAACTGGTATAAACTCATGGAAGCATCAATGGCAATTTTCCTTCCTAGAGAAGCTGTTTAAAGTTGAAAAAGAGCCTTCAAACTCACCAAAATAACTTTTATATTCATGTTCCTTGATAGATGAAGGGGCATAATCTCCTAAAAGCTTTGAAAGACCGTGAATACCCATTCCACCCCCTTAGTATTTTGACAAGTACTATACCACGTGGTTAAAGTATACGGAATCAACAAAGTAAGTTTACTAAGTGCCTCGGTCGTAAACGGAGTAATGAAAATTTTTACGAGGTTATTATTTTAAAAAGACAAACAGTACTAGTGATAATCCAGTGATGGATATAGAAGAAGACCAGAATTCAGAAGGTATTAGTGAGGAAATTATTATTGCATGAACCTAATTATTTAGTATAATACCAGAATAATTAAGTGGGAGGAGTTGGGGTGGGGCTAATAATCAATGATTCACTCTGTAGAATGTAGTGGTGAAGAAAATGAGCCTCTAGTTCTAAGGGGACGTCAAGTAGCTGTCAGAAGTGGGAGAGGACGTCAGGTAGCAGTTAGAAGTGGTAGGGGACATCAGGTAGCTATCAGGAGTAGGGGACGCCCTCCGAAATATCGCGGTACTCAGGGTAGAGTTGGACGTCCTCCAAAATATCCCAAGCGCACAGATAGAGGGGGACATCAGGTGTCAGCTGACAGGAGTGAAGGTCGTCCAAGTGAAAGCCATGTACATGTACCTCCTGCGCAGAGTTTCAAAACAAACTATAAAATTGCAAAGCTCATTAATGGTAAGAATAATTCATTAACAGTACAATACTTAATAGCAATGATATTAGTGGCTATGAATGAGATTGAATATTATTTTGAGCTGATTCTGATCAAATTAGACCTTATGCTTGCTTAATGTTTTTTCCATAGATTCTGAACCAAGTAATATTGATCCTGTTAGACTAGCCATTGAAACCATCATCCAAATATGGGAAGGAAGAATGGTTGAATGGTATCCAAAGAGTCTTGAGCTACTGGTATTTGTGCATCAATCGTATCCAAACGTACAACCAATGAAAGTCAAGAAGCTAGTGTCGAACCTAAAAATGAAGGCAATTAGGATATCAGATTTATAATTCATTTTAAATTCATATTTCATAGATTGGAGTGATGCTGTTTTTGGAAGGCAATAACGATGAGTACACCCAGTTTGTAGCTAATAATTTTCCAGGAGAAGTGAGTTGTATTAATAGTGCAGTGTCCAAAATGAATTGTTTCTACATAATTCTATAGGCCAATAAAAGAATAAGGGAGAAATTGCTATCTATTCATTGTTTCACTGACGCTTCTGAGCTAGTGTTCAGTGAAGAGGCAGAGAAAGAATTAATGGACACTCGTATTAGTCTAATCAGATACCTTGCTAGAGTGACAAATGAAATTATCAGTGCATTACATTAACTTTATTTATTTTTAAAGAGAATCTTATCAGTCACTTTTTGGATGAATATAAAAATACGGAGACCACGACCGGAAGTTTACAAACCTCACGTGCCTTTTAATAGGTGTGGTTTGGTTTTTGCGCGCAAAATCTGCGCATATGCGCAATTGCGCGCTGATGTTTTCATGTGGAATGTGGATGTGATCATTAAAAAGGGTTTTTCAAATGATTTGGTTTCACAGAACAGTATGCTAGTTAATATTTTCTTTTTAAATATAACATTGTCTCTTTTTAAAGGTTTATCCATGGCGTGCTGCTGCCAGCTGCATCTGGCTGTGGTCTCTAACATTAACATTATTATTATTTTATCACTTACTAATGGTCAGTATAATTATTGAGTTATTTGTATTAATTGCCTTTTTAAAATACAGTTTTCTTCTGTATTAAAGATCGACTCACTATTGTGCATGTTCATATTCATCACTAGCGTATTATTGATGCACATTAGTCAGTTATGGCTTCTTGACAGTAAGAAAAAAAATTGAAAAAGATAAAATAATTTCTATTACTTTTTATAGTTAAAGTTTTTGTTGGGCGTACACGTCTGCAAAGGTTTTGTCATACTTTTAGACTCTCACACTGTTTGTTTGTGATGCTAAATGTCGTCATGGCAACTTTCCAGTCATTTAGTTTAATGTACATTGTCCATAATACTGACAATTACCATTCTACTACTTACGGATCTTTTCTTGTAAGTCGATTACAAAATTTGTTAAAAGTTAATAATTGTGGCTCAATTTTAATTTAGGGCTTAATGTATTTTGTGTACTATATAAAAGACAGTATGTTTATACTTGTCTTTAATTCTATTCAAGTAATTCGAGGGAGAGAGAGAGGATGAGAGCTGGTGAAAGAGAGAGAGAGCGATGGTTCATTGATAAGCATTTTTTATTTTGTTTTTCTCTGTTTAGCAGGCAAAATTTTTCCAGTTCAAAACAAGTCTACCATTATTATTCAGAAACTCAGTCAAACAATCATTAAAGGTAGCAATTAAATTCAACTATAGCAATTATAATTAAAATTTTTTTTTATTAGGACATGGTACTTTACATGTGCATCTATGCTGCCATCAGTAAGACTATAGAAAATATTAATGATTATTTTTTAAATTGTAGACATGCGTTTGTCACTGTTGGTTGATATACGATTGCTATGGTTGCTATTTGTAAATGGAGTCATGATGCATTTTGTCTGGCGTCTGAGTTTAAAATTACACCATTTGTACCAAGCAGAGGTTAGTTATTACCTTTTCTGTACTTCTATCATGTAATATATATATATCTCTCTCTAGCTGCTAGAGTTTCCACTTATAGCATCATTCAGTGAAGATTCTTCTAGAACATTAATATTAGGACTTGAATCAAATAATTTATTAATCAAAGTACATACACTAATAACAATAATAATAATAATAATAATAAAATATTTATGTAATTATTTTTGTAGTATCTTGCTTTTATGGATCTTGCAAGACTATCAGTTCAATCCCCATCAAGGAGGAGCAAGGTAATCATCACTCATTAATATTCATCGTTATTATTAACCAATTGATTGATTGGATTAATGTATTTCATAGGTGTATAGCCTATCCACTAGTGGGGGACCTGGTTTGTGGATTAATATTTATAATAATTGCATGTCACAATTAAAGAATTTCATAACGTCACTTGGAGGAAGAGGAGATGATGTTGCCATTGGATATACTCCCAGTAATAATTAATTTTATTTATTATTATTATTTAATTATTATTTTTAAAGGTTTACCTGCTTCTAGTACAGTGACTTATCGTAAGGGATGGAGCAATGAAATGACCAGACCCACTTTATCAAGAAGTCATGTATATGCTGAAAGAGCGGTTCTTGCAGGTCTGTTAAAATTAATCGTTACATGTACATGTATACCAGACCTGAGGCATTCCCAAAATTAGCCTTAAGAGCAAGACTTTTAAAATGGCTATAACTCGAAAAATCAAAGTCGGAATCAGCTCAAACTTTTTACATAGCATAAGGGCATCAACATGTATCAGAAAATGCAATAAAAATGGGGGGTGATTTCGGAGCCAATTTTCAGAAAAACCATGGGCTATAGTACAGGGAATTTTTCAGAAATTGGCTAGTTTTTTTAAATGACCATAACTTGAAAAATTGAAGTCGGAATCAGCTCAAACTTTTTACATAGCATAAGGACATCAATATGCATCAGAAAATGTAATAAAAATTTGGGGTGATTTTGGAGCCATTTTTTTTTTTAAACCATGGGCTATCAGGGTTCTATCTAGAAATTTTGGTTTGGGGGGGGAAGTACATGTAAACTTCCATGTAGAAGTAATACTGACTATATTACTATGCAATTGCTTACTCAATAAATTTGTAATTTACAGAGATGTACACTTTATGTACACAATTGTGTACCTTTATGTACACTTTATGTAAATTTTCATTAAAATTTTGGGGGGGGAAGATATTGAGTTTGGGGTAGAACCTTCCCCCCCACCCCCACCCCCAGTAGATAAAACCCTGGCTATAATACAGGGAATTTTTCAGAAATTGGCTAGTTTTTTTAAATGGTCACAACTTGAAAAATTGAAGTCAGAATCAGCTCAAACTTTCTACACAGCATAAGGACATTAATATGTATCAGAAAATGTAATAAAAATTTGGGGTGATTTTGGAGCCATTTTTTGGAAAAAACCATGGGCTATAGTACAGGGAATTTTTTAGAAATTGGCTAGTTTTTTTAAATGGTCACAACTTGAAAAATTGAAGTCGGAATCAGCTCAAACTTTCTACACAGCATAAGGACGTCAATTTGTATCAGAAAATGTATTAAAAATTTGGGGTGATTTTGGAGCCAATTTTCAGAAAAACCATGGGCTATAGTATAGTGTTGTTGTAGTTCCTTGGTACTAGAACTAAATCAATTCTAGTACTGCCTTTTTTTCATAGTTCTAGTTCCAAGAACTAGAACTAGTACTATTTTTACAACCAATGTAAGAACCAGAACTAAACTAGAACTAGTTTATACAAGACTTGTAGTACTAGAACTAAACTGGAACTAAACTTTGCCAGAGTCTCAGTACTAGAACTAAACTGGAACTAAAAGTACATTCTCTTGTGGTACTAGAACTAGTTTGGAACTAGAATTGTAGAACAATATTAGTTGACAAAGAAGGTACTAATTTGTCAGTGAAATATTTTAGTACATAACAAAGACTGAATAACAAATAATGTATGAATTTGTTACTTAGACATAAATTATATATCAATAGACTTTTGAATACTTGTTCAGTTCAAAGCTAAGCAGTGAAAGCGTGACAGCAGAAGCAAAAAGAAGCAGTATTTAGAAATTATTTCCAATTAGAACTAAGCTTCTTAAACTCTATTGCCAGAACAAGTACAAGAACTATAACTTAGCTCTAGAACTGGAACAATAGCTAAAATTTATTGAAATCTAGTTTTAGAACTAGTACTAGAACTAATTTTATAAAACTATAGTTCTAGAACTAGTACTAGAACTAAACTTTATCAAACTCTAGTTCCGGAACTAGTACTAGAACTAAACTTTATCAAACTCTAGTTCCGGAACTAGTACTCGAACTAAACTTTATCAAACTCTAGTTCCGGAACTAGTACTAGAACTAAATTTTTTCAAACTCTAGTTCCGGAACTAGTACTCGAACTAAACTTTATCAAACTCTAGTTCCGGAACTAGTACTAGAACTAAATTTTTTCAAACTCTAGTTCCGGAACTAGTACTCGAACTAAACTTTATCAAACTCTAGTTCCGGAACTAGTACTAGAACTAAATTTTTTCAAACTCTAGTTCTAGAACTAGTACTAGAACTATATAAAATTATGGTACTGCAACAACACTACTATAGTACAGGGTATTTTTCAGAAATTGACTGATTTTAAAAGTGGCTATAACTCGAAAATTGAAGCTGGACTTTCTATATAGCCAAAAGATTTCTCTAAGTGCTCTAAGGAATATTTTTACACTAATACTCTTGTTATACACAGGTCATGTTCAGGAGCTACATCATGAAGCCACACCCAAGAGCCACACCCCTATGAAGAGCCCAAGGGACCAGGTTAAAGATGCAGTCAGTACACTGTCATCATTTAAAAGAGAAATCATAAACTATTTAAAGAAAAAGCCGCTAATAGCATATTTTGTAACTGAGGTGAGTCTTATTATTCATATAAAATGTGCATAGTCCATTCATGCATGTACATATACAAACTGCTGTCCATTACTTCATTCTGTGTAGTTGCCCGAGCAAAAGGAGAAGGAACTATTGTCTGAGAGTTTGCTGTACATTTGTATTGTGACCAGTTTGACTCATTTAGCAGTTCACTCCAGGATTGAAGATAAATATGGAGTCGTTCAAATTGTTAGTTTTATTGCTACTTAATGTACATTTGCACCTGATTTTTACGCATGTAATTATTATTTAGAATTTACCAGAGATTGTCAAGAAATTTATAGAATTATTGACAGTAAGTTTCATGTTTTTGTTAGACCAAATATAAAAGCACTTTTTACTATATTCTAACTCAAAATTTGCAGTCCTATTGTCATTACACTGCCTCTATGTTCTGCTATAATGCAGGGTAGAAGTTTGAATTGATTCCTTATTTTTATCCCTCCCTATCTGCTGATATTAGTTGCTTCAGAAACGTGTGAGGCAGCCCTTTGGAGCTACATACTCCAATGAATCAGTCAATCAATTGGAAAATGGCAAATACGGATTGAGGAATGGTGAGTCTTTATTATAATGTATGAGTGATCAATGTATTTATAGCTCTTGAAGAAGGATTGAATCTAATTAGGTTAACTTTTCCAGATACAAGGTGATGGAACGATTATCATGATGATTCAATAATGTATTATGTAACTGATGTTCTGCTTTTAGGTTTATGAATTTGACTAGTGAAGAAAAGTTGAAGTTAAGCAATGTGACTGCTCAAGCTAGCTAAATGTTACGAGGGCTTGAAAATGCAACTTGTGTCTTATAAGATTTTATTTATTTTTGGGTGTTCCTCTGTCTTGATTTCATGAAATGAAATTCAATTGTTGCTCATGAATAATAATAATAAAATTGGTTGTGACCACGCCTATTTTATTGTATCCGCCCAAGTGAACATGGCTGCCAATTCCACACTGTTTCTCTTGTCAAAGGAGGAGGAAATGGAATCAACTGAGACTCCTTTTTCTCAAGAGCCGAAAAAGAGGTTTAAAAACGAGGGGAACACGATAGAGGACGTTGCTTACAAGCCTCTCATAGATAAGGAAGAGAGTCCGGCCGGGTGTGATGAAGAGCTGATTAAAGAAGAGAAAGTCTCTTTCATAGTACTAAATGGTGAAAGAGATGTGGCAGGAGAGATGGAGGATAAAGAACTAATGCTAAGGAAATGGCTGGCCAGTTCATCTCCAGCTCCCCTAGTAGAAGATGATGATGAAATAGATGATGAAGTTTCCTGTATGAGTAACGTTAAAATAACCGGGACTTGCTTTTGCAAGATATTTGTTGTCCTTTACCTCCTGGCCTGTCTCCTTGTATCGGCCCTTTATATTGCTATATATGGACCAAATGAGCTTTATCTAATGCCAGAGACACCACCTCCCTATAAGCCATCTAAAGTAAGAGAGTTTAGACTCCTACATGTATGTGTACATTCTGTTAATTTTATAAATATTGCATGTAACTTCTCTAATGCAGCAAGAATTCCTTTATGCTTGCATTACTATAATCATCATACTTGTAAATTCTTTTTTGATTGTGCGTTGAAATTAAAGATTCTTTTTGCTTTCTCATTCGATCAGTGCCAAACTATAGGAGTAGCACCACAAGGTTTATGGCAGCACCTGGTGCTGTGTATTGTATGTGTTAGTCTTAAAATGTCATTCAATATGGTAGACTCTTGTCTTATTGTTATCTATTGATCTATTGAGGCTAAAATTGCAGCTGCTTGCATTATGAGCTAATGTCTCTACTGAAAGTTGGAATTAAGCTTGTCCTCTTCCTTTCCTACTATTCTCTGCTTGTAATTTCTTGGCTGTTGAATTCATGTACAATCTCTGTCACTATTAGTTACTGTGATCTCTGTTGGGAATTTTACATGTAATTATGTAAATTATGTACATACATGTATGCATGTTTTTAGAACCACTTCTCTTTCTCTCTCTGTCTCTATTTTCTCTCCCCATAGCCTACTCTCCACTTACCTCCTGTTCGTTTCTATGACAACCCGTACACAGAATGGATATCACAGAGGTGGGCCTATGACTTTGAGCAGTTTGCCGACTGGCCGAAATTACCGGAACGTGTCGACACAATTCGACAGGTTGTAGGAGGGTATATTGACGGACAGGAAGGAGTCTGGCTTTTGGACTCGACGAGTCTTTACTTTGTGTTAGGATTTGGGAGTTCTTCTCCTGAAAGCGTTCAGTTTTTGAACATGAGTGACAATCTTGATTTAAACATTACTAATAATACGTACCTGACCCTCCTTGATAAGGAGAACTTGTATCTTATATCACCGTATGAGGTTGTCCTGTTGAACTGCAGCCGGTCATCAACTGAAGAGTAAGTCCAAGCATTGTACTCTATGGAATAGTAGTGAATGTGAAGCGAATGTGTACATATTAGTTACTACATGTACATGTATACTTTATAGTATTAGTAAATATGCAGGGATGGTATCAAATTCATTGTGAATGTAAATACAAGTGTAACTAGATGCTTGTGTCAAAAAATTCTGAACCATTTTTTCAGATGTCTATTGCTTTAAAAAGCTTGAAAGTTGAAACTGAATAACTTTTATACTTAGCATAGAAAGCCTCAACATAACGCAATGTTAGTTATATTTTTGTTTTCTAAACCTTGAGTGTTGCTTATTCTTTTCTGTTGTTATTCTTTTAGTTGTGACATATCCCAGTACTGGTCCATTGATTATGTAAACGCTAGCAATACCGTCATAACCTCAACAGTACTGTCAACCAATGACAGGGTACTTTGGATCGGTACCGATGGAGGCCTGTTTGCACTCAATACAACCTCCACCCATTTATCAGAGGACAACGAGACGGCTGTTGTTCCTGTTCTTGATATCGACGAGCCTGTTATTTCACTTGCCTGGAGGGCTGGGTTAGGCGGAGTTCATTATGGGCATGGTTTAGGTAGAGATTATTGTGGGCGTGGTTTCAAAAGCAAGACGTTTTGGTTGAGCCCCTCGTCAAGTTATCAGTGTTTAGACATTAGTTATAATGGAGGGGGCGGAGCCTATAACGGGACTGGCGATGGGTGCGGTTTTGGACTTTTAGTTATCGGCACAAACGAGAAACTTTATTTTTACGATGGTAGTCGAGTCTGGTTTGAGTGGATTTCAAAATGGGAGGATGGGCTTGGGGGTGTGGTTGATGGCCCGCCCACTTCACTAACATTCGTGCCATCAGGGGATTTATATATTGGTAATAACGTTTCACTGAGTAGACTTTTTGTTAATTATACTTTTCAAAGACTCGGACCTCGCGAAGGACTACCATACGGAAACATCCTTACCCTTCATTACCTACCCCTTGCTATTCTAAATCCTCCTCTTCTCCGCCCTCTGATTCTCCCTAGAGTGAAGTCCTGTGGTGGAACACTACTAGTCGGTACTGGTAAAGGGTATAGTCTCTTTGATATGGGTAACTCCCGTTTTGTTGATTATCATTACGGTCCTCGCTGGTTGCCAGGGAAAGGTGTTAGTGGAGCTAGCAGTTTGTACGGAGATGTGTTTGTGATAGTGAGTGATGGAGGGATCGCTGTCCTAAGAGGAGAAGAATGGACGCTGGAGAGGAAAGCAGGACATTATCAAGACATGTTGTCAAGACACACTAGAGAACCAGGTAAGGAAGATGAAGACTTAAACCATTTGAAAACAGAGCCGCCATTTTATGCTGCTTACATTGTATGTGCATACTCAAAATTAACGTCACATGGCCACTAATTTATCAAAATCAAAAAATTAAATTTTTACATTGTTCATATTATTTTTAGGTCTTACTGCTGATTGTCCTCTTGATAATTATACTGTTATCACATGTGAACCAGTGCCAACTGATAATGATGGACTATGGACCTCTTGGTCAGTGGCAGCTGAAGCACTCCGCTACAAAGCGACTGGTATAGAGGAGGCAAAGAGAAACGCCTGGTCACTCTACACGGGAATGAAGTTCCTAATAGAAGTGACTGGTGTTTCAGGTTTACCAGCTCGCTCTGTTGTTAGAGAAGATGACAATGACACTGGTAGCATTGGGGATGATTGGCATGCATCAGTTACTAATCCTGGCTGGCTTTGGAAGGGAGACACAAGCTCTGACGAGGTATTATTTTCTTTATTTTAAAGTGCCATTATTTTTTCTTATTTTCATAGATTGCCGGTCATATATTCGCATATACTTTAGTGTATGATTTGGTTGCTGAAACTCTTAATGAGAGGATGAATGTAGCTTCAACACTGGACAGTATTATCAGTAAGTCATGCATACATGTGGCAACATTATTCCTATACTTAGATGTAATTACTTATTTCCTTTATTAGTATTATTGGTGCATGTATTGTACATGTGCATTGTGCTCTATAATAATTATTTTCCTTGTGCACTTAGCTTGCCTGCAGTGAATAGCTGCATCAATTTTATTGCTAAAATTTAAATTCACTGTAAAGGAAATCACAAAAAATTCACTAACTAATACAGAATACAGTTAAGCAGCATAGAATGTTCTACTAGTTCAAACTACCTAACCAAAAAAACTAAGTAGCTACAATGTATGTTTGAAATTGTTTCAAGTAGATAATAAACCTCTTAGTTACTTGGTGCACACAACACAAGTAATAGCTCTTTTGTTAACATAAGGTGGACAAGGTAGACCAGTACAGGTTGTACGGATAAAGTAGAAATGAGCAGACAAAGTAGCAGTCTCACTTCCATCAATAGATTCGGGACTTTCGTCAACACACTCATAGACTTTATTATTCTTGAAAGAATAATGTTCAGCCATCAGATATCCTTTATATTCTATAGTCCATGATGAAGGACAGCTGGTTCTAGCAGGAATCATTAGTTTAGTGCTCCTGCTGGATGCATAGCATACTGCACAAGGAGCATTGTGTTGATTCTTTCCTGGAAATATACCATTAGCACTTTCATATTCTGTACCATACATTAGAGAATAATCAGGAGGCTCATGTGTACTATTATATTGAGGATCCTTTGGTAAACAGACGTAGTTAGCTCCTCCTCCTGAATTTTCATAGTAACCACCTCCAGTTATTCCCTCATACAGTAGTTCAGCTCCAGTAGGACAGGACTTCTTTCCCCAACGAGTGTACACTACTCCACCACTGTTAGGACCAGCTGGTCCTGCAGGTCCAGTATCACCTTTCTCTCCTTTCTCTCCCTTATCTCCTCTTTCTCCCTTATCTCCTCTCTCTCCTTTCACTCCATCTCTTCCATCACGACCATCTCTACCACGCAACACTTCAACATAGGCTTGTTTATAGTTGCAGGACAGTCCAGTGTTGGTGTTATTCTTTAATGGTATAGCTGCAGCTAGTGTCAGTATTGAGAGCAACACTGAACACACAACTAGTAACCTCATTGGAAGAGAAAGAGACTAAGAGAGAGAGACTGAGAGATTGAAGACTGCTATTTCTCAACTCTGCTAGTCTTTATATACTGATTTGGTTTTTAAAAGTTATATTATAGTTAGTAACAGGTTAAACCAGTCATACAAACCTGTTGAACCTGTTAATGAACAATATGCTGTTGTTTGAGTGTCTGACTTTGTGTCTCTTGTAAGGTAATTCTTTTAAAAGAGTGTAATAATACAAGAGTTTTATTAAATTATTCAAGAATAATTATTTTAGAATACTATGGTGTAGAAAACGGTAGTATAGTATAAATAACCTTTTGTAACTGTTTAAACAAGAGTTTTGTGTGATTAAATTAAACCTTAAATTATTTTTTTTGTAGGTTACATAAAGTCAAATAACTACACACTAGTTGATGTCACTAATCGTACCACTAGATGGGGTGTGTGGTCACCAGATCAACTCAATTACAATCAGTCATGGGCCGATGAGCGTGGACTGAACTCACTTGAGATATTAAGTGGATTAATGTCTGCCTATAGAATGACTATGAAAAAAGACTACATAGAAGCATGGCAGGTAAACTTTACCATGCAGTAATCCTTTGATGTTGCACTTAGTTTCTTATAGATTCATGAATGTGTGTGTGTGTGTTGCTATCATTATATTTTATTTTTAGGAGCTGGTTGATACTCATGGTTACGGTCTTAATATGATCAACCAAAAGATAACGTTCCCTAGAGATTTCAATTTCTCAGACGATGAGCTAGCTTTCATGCAATATTTTGTATATTTCTATACGTTAAAAGTGAGTGGAGAGGATGAGTACTTGTCTTATTATTATGTTGTTTGTAGAAGCTGAGCCACCAGCAAGATAAAGAGTTTCCACTAGAAGATGCATTGAGTTTGGGTCAGCTGAGCTTAAAGCAAGCCTGGGACTCTGTAAAGAGAGAAAAGAGTTCGGCTTGGACTGGCATATACTCATTCGCTACAGGTACAGACACATTGATATTCATCTATTGCTTCCTTTTCTTTAGGTCAGAATAATACCGAGTTAATAGAGAAACTAGTTTGGAGTTTACGTGAATGGCCACTTGATCTTGTTCAATGGCCCACGACTAATTCTCATCGTCTTGACATTCATTTGGATCCTGAACAGGACAGGTAATTATTATAGCTAGCTAAAATTGAGTAGCTATTTCTATTAAGAGCATCGATGTTATAGCTAACTTCTAAAACTTCACTTTTTCTCTTGCTCTTCAATTCCAGGTACTATCGTAGTGGTATTCAGTCAGTTAGAGTATTACCTCCTAATGAACGAACTCAGCTTCGTTGGAATTCTAATCCCTTTCAACTTGATTCTGAAGGATCAAGCAATGAAATGGATCCTGCCCCTTGGCTATTACCGTACTGGCTAGCTCGTTGGACTAAACTATTATAATTATTTTGATTTGATTTCATTTAGTTCATTTATCACTTTCCTTTGTTCTTTTTTCTTTCTTTCTGTTCTCTCCTCAGTATCATCTTTTTAACAACTTACTTCCAACTTATTAATAGAAGGATTAATCTAGCTATAATTGTTTTGCAAATGCAAAATGCTGCATGGTAAACATCCTGCAATCAAGTGCATCAATTAAAGTAGCAAGATCATCAGTGCCAACATAACAATAGCTCTTCATTGCTTTATAAACTGAGGTTGAGGGTAACTCAATACAAAAACTATCAATCAGATTATCAAAATGTGCATAAGCATGCATCAAGACTTTGATAACTAAACAGTTTTAAAAAATTATAATCATTTCCACAGACAGTGTAACTAATACACAGTTACAAAACAATTAATAACAGGTGATAATTATGAAATAGCATCAATACAGTAAACTGTTGCTTAAGGTTTGTTTGGTCCACCACGTCCCTCTATACTGTCATTATTACTGCTGCTGCTGTTGGTACCCTTTTCAAATGAAGATACAAACTTGGACAGACGATCAAACAGGTCACTCATTAGTGGGAGCTGCAGTCAAAGAAGAGCATGCATTGTTTAAAGGTGGTTCAAAATTATCCCAAAGTCCCTGTACTATGGTATACTAAATTTTACCAAAAATGAAAAAGAAAAAATTCTCCATTTTTATAATTTTTTTTTATGCAGGTACATGTTCTTAAATTGCATAGAAAGTTTAAACTGATTCCAATCAAATCTAGATTTTTTACAAATTTTTAAAGTTGCCCCAAAATTAAGTTAACGTCCCTGTACTATAGTACAGGGGTTTGGCTAAATTTTGCCAAAAATGAAAAGGAGATACTTCCCCATTTTAATAATTTTTCCTGATACATACACATGTTTATATTTTGTGTAGAAAGTTTGAGCTGATTCCAATAAAATCTGGATTTTTTACAAAGTTTTAAAGTTGCTCCAAAATTAGTCATATGTGGCCCCAGGCCAAAATTTATCAAAACTATTTAGGAGAGAATTTTCTATTTTATACATGTTTTGAGCATAGATATCTATGTTCTGAGCATGTTTTGTATCAAAACCCTGGTGATAATATGTTATTATTCCAATTGAGTCCTCAGTTGTTAGCTTTACCTGATAGTTTTGTGCCAGATAAACACCAGAAATGCCCCCTAAGCCCAAACCAGCCTAAATGAAGTAATAATTTTATTAGAACATCATCAGCTTACAATCCAATGAATCAATCCTGGCTTCACCATATTGACTACTCAGACTAGGTGTGGCCTTCATGAAAGCCACACATCTCTCAGATCATCTCACGTGTAACTTGCTGTCCAAACTGTTGTATAAAACGAGGTATAAAGCAAATTAGCAAAGCTTTCATGCCACGTTTGACAAAGTGCTTATTTCTACCTCGTAATGCTTCAGATTGTAAGGAATTTTTGTATTCTTTTTCTTGTTTGTTATTATTTTCAGTCTTTAATTTTATAATTTTTTTCTAACCTAGTTGCTAACAGTTTCTTGATGCGTGGAACGTCAAAGAAAGAAAGACTTAAAAGAAAGGAAGTCCTTAACAGGAATCGGTCCGATCCTAAACTAGAACGAGCTTCAAGGAGAATGAAATGTTAGTAACGCTGATAATTGTGGTGGGTGTGGTTTTACTAGGCTCCACCCACTAGTACGTGTTCCATTACCTACAGTAAAAGAGGACTGGAAAGAAGAGCATGGGCTGGTACACCTACAGAGGACGGGACACCATTTTAATATTTTTAGTGACGTGTACAAGCAAATGTTTCATCCCCTTGGATTCATGGGTGTGGCTTACGAAACAAACCAGATAAGACATGGAAACATTGTTCATCCAGAAAAAGTAAAATCTGCAGAAATACCATTATTTTTTGAAAATTGGCTCCGAAATAATCCTCAATTTTTTATTACATTTTTAATATTCTTAAAACTTCTTATGCTATGTAGAAGACTAGAAGTTAAGTTTGAGCTGATTTAAGCAACAAATTTTAAAGTTATGAATATGAACATTGTTTACCTAATAATGATCAGTGAATAGTGTAATCAGTGAATAGTGTATTCTTGTACATAGACACTAAATGAGCCAGTGGTTAGTCTTCCTTCATCCTCCGTTGAAAGAAATGGCTACTGGACACTAGTTATGAGTAATCCTGATGGACACCTGACTGATAGCAACTTTGAATTGCTTCACTGGATGATGTGAGGAAGGAAAGAGAGAGAGAGAGAATAAGGAATAGTACATGTACAGTCATACATTAGGACAATAATAACCTTTAGCTAAACATACATTCATTGCAAAATAAGCACATCAGCATTTGTTAATTTTATTTTCTGTAGTGGGAATATTCCAGCTGGAGAGGGCATACAATCAGGTGATACTCTAACTCCATACCTTCCTCCAATACCACCACAAGGGACTGGAGTCCATAGAATTATATTCTCGCTCTTCCAACATAAAGAAACTCTATCTTTTGAGTCTTTAAAAAGGACAGGATCCTGGCAAGTCAAGCGATATTTATGTGCGACGATGTTCTCTCTTTGTTTTATTAGGTTGGATGAGAGGAGTTTCAGCACCCATCAGTTGTTATCATCTCATCCTACTCTCTCTCCATTCACTTTTTGTTTCTTTCAGACAATCTGGGATCAATCTGTTCAAAAAACTTATCACAATACACTAGGTATGAGACATGTAATGTCAATTTCTCCTTTCTCTCTCTCTTTTAGGTATGGCAGAGCCTGTGTATGGAGTAGAGAAGACAGACACTCCTCGTCAATCGAAAATGAAGTTAGTAAAGGAGACGCGGTCTCAGTATTACAGGGATCTAATTGCTACCTGTCAAACCCAACCACCACAGGCACTACAACAACAACAACAATAGTTATTGTTATTATTAGTATTAATAATAATAATAAATTAAATAATATAAGAAATGATTTATCTTTAATTGTATGTGTATGAGTCTGATGGTTGCCTCTCGTTCGTCTCACTGGACAGTGTTGTTGTTGTTCCACCCATTCTAGCAGGATCCTCATTCCTTACAGAAGTACCGGTACTTTGAAGAGCCACTGTGACACCTGGAGGCATTGGCATAGTGCTACAGACCATATTTTTGGTGAGAGAATGAGTTGTTTCTGCTTCTTCGCTCTTCGACAAAGATGAGTCCGCCCTTTCCTTTTGGTCTCCATTTTCAGCAGACTGGAAACTCGAATAACTATCTTCCTTGCCAGAGAAACTAGGGCAGCAGGAGAAACAAGCTAAAGCTTGTCTAAAACAACCAATGCAATGGTTTTTGCAACCTGTTAAACTGGATGCCATTAAAGCCAGTGAGGGAAATTTCTGCACTGCAAATGTGATGTCACTCTATAAGTTTATACTAGTATCAGTAGTATGATTTTACTAGGATTATATTACGGATGTAGATCTAAACTATAATAATATTAACCAGGCTACAGTACTTAATGAAGGCAATTGTCCTTATGTATTGCACCTTTATTCATTAAAATTTTTTTTTGGAAATGAAAATCATTTACTAATATAGAGTGACCAGGTTGTTGTCTTTTAGTGTCATTACTTCTCTGCCTATTAAAAAAGAAAGAATAATATTATGCACACGTTTTCTTCTAACTTGTTTCAGTTTTGTTTTAATTTGAACAGTGACCTTCTTTCCATCAGACTGCCTCACAATTTTACTATGCACCCATGCTCTCTCCATCTTCCTCCCCCCTCTCTCATCAATCTTTCCTTTCTTCTCTTCTTTCTTCACAGGTATCGGTACCTTGCCACGAGTCTCACCAATCTGGAGCAAAGCACCCAATTTAAAACTAACCTCTTGAAACTAACAAAAGTACAATACTAAAATAGAATCAATATTTGATCAGAATCAGCATTGATCAGAGATCACTGTACACCAGGGTCAGGGTCTTCCTCTTCTAGTGATCTTGATCTTGATTGATATTTGCGATACTAAATCTATTTGTGATGATAATAGTAATCATTGATAATTTTAGTTTTTAAAATCTTTGCATTTAAAATCCACACACTTGCAGCATAGTCTGACCACTTGCAGCAGGGCCGTTGGATACCAATCATTTTATTAAGGGCTCTGCCCTAGCCATCATAAAGGTTATTTAAAATAGTTGGACGACCTGCCCATACAGGTAGATGCAGTTCATCACTAAGAGCTTTGCCTAAAATAATAATAGTTGTAGTATCAGAGATGTTGCTAATCAAGTCAACTTTCATCAGTTACATGTATCTAACTATCTATGCTTGAGCATTGGCATGACCTCCGTAAATAAACACGCATACACAGGATACATTACCAAAGGCTGTCTAATAATAATTATTCACAACATAAAATCATAGATGCATCTTTGATAAAATACACTTATTAGTCGATGATTAAATCATTATCATGAAAATGATTAGAAAGAAGAATAAAATGGACAGACAAAGACAGATAACAATAATGATAATAATTATAGTTGAACTTGATTGTATTATTACTCCAACAACAATAATAATAAAAAGGAAGAGTGAAATAGAGAGGTAACAATAGTGATAATTATGGTTTAACTTGATTATATACAATAATATTAATAATAACACCGAGGTAACTGTTACTCAAGTAAAGATTACAGTTGACTTTCCTTCTCTATTATTGCACTGACCCGTGCAATCTGGTCTCCAATACGCTGTGTGCCTTTATATTCAAATAGCTGCGAAACATTCTTCTTAAAATCTAAAACTAACTTCATTAATGAAGCACAGTCATCTATATAGCAGCACTGTAGTCCATAAATAGTAATTTTATGGAACTTTTTATCTTCTACGATGGCATTAGTTACGAGAAATCCCACAACTGCAACCATATTTGCGAGTGCCTGAGCCTTTTGCTTTTTACTATATTCCTCTTCTTCAACACCCTCCTGCTCCTCTTCTGATGATATGGAAATCTGCTCAGGGTCCTCATCCTCTTCTGGTTGGGTTGATACAGACACTGCAGAAAAGCTATTTGATTTGGGCAAAAGACAAAAGTCAGGCCGAGATGATTGGTGCAGTGTCACAGGTAGTTCTGTCAAACACTCATTGTCCTTAATGAGAAACTTGTTTCCATAGTGTATCTTCAGCCAACGTCCAAAGTATGCATCCTTGCTGACTTTCAGACCTTTCACTGCTAATGTGTCAAAGTGGACATCTGTGCGCATAGTTTGAATAAAAACATCCTTGATGGCTTTTTCTGTCTTTAAGGAAGTACGTAGGACAAACAGTTGTGGTATAACATCCACTAAAATGCTGGTCACCAATTCTTTATTGTCACAATCTGCAAGGAACGATTTCGGCGGAACAAATTCTGGGCAGTATGTAACTTCTATATTCGGTGCTGCAGTTTTTATTGGGAAAAGTTCTTGAAAATGAGATGAACGAGCATTTGTTGCAGCTATAACTTTATTGAAAAAATATATATATTTACCAGTGGCTAGTATATTATACTCGCCACTGGCATCACGACTTTTCGTAGTAACCGGTGTTAGTAACGGTGGCAAGATACTTGGTGAAATTTTGGCTCCCATATTTTCGTTAACAACAGATATTTCCAATATGGTTGGATAAAACAAATCCACAAGACAAAAAGACCTATTAAAATTTAAGTATTTAACTTACATTAGGCAATTCATAGTATTCCAAAGGCAGAACTGATAATAACAACTATAAAAATAACAATTCAAAAGGCCTTAGCAAGCACTCCCCATGCCCTTTTATACAGCAAAACACAGGCACAAGCAGAAACTCCCCAAACATAATGAAACTTAATGAGCTATGTATACTTACAACTTGCAAGATTCCTCAACATTGAATCCAAAACTGTCATGAAAATGTGTCAGCTCTTTCATTCTAGATTCCCATTCTTCTTTGTACTTTTTCAAATCCTTTATAATATCTGAGACAAGCTTTAATACTGATTCATCTGATTCGGACTTGGCTTGGGATATCTCAGCAAATAATACATTTCGTCTGTCTTTCTGTTCTTGGATGCTCTCCTCAAGACTTTTTATACTTGCAATAAGCTTTTTCATCTTTAGAAAGTCAAACTGATGGTAAAAAGAGAATGTGAAAGCATACTAAATACCAGTACCCAACACAGAGGAACTGACATGCATTAGGCTATTACTCGTTACGATGCAATGTGACACACAATTATTGTTGAAGTGGGTATAAAATGCATAAATACATCATGTGAGGAATTCTCAGGTCAACTAGAATATATGCCACCAGAAACCACACCCTCTCGTCGATCTTAGTAGAGCGCCTGCCTGGCTAAGGGGTTGGGGTTTAGTGTTTATTTTTTACTTCCGGTGGCAGATGTCCTAGTTGATCCGAATTCTCCCTCACAGTCACAGTAAACATAAAAGTTTTGACCGTCATTAATTTTCTGTCAAGCTAGGTCAAAAATTAAAAATTTTTAACTCGAGTGTAGTCATCATGCATGTTGCTAGAGCCCTTCTATTTTAAGTTACCTGGTCATGTTCATTTGTACTTTGACTTATAGGTGTATTGCCTACATAATTTAAAAGTATGATAATGATTCAGTGGCAGTGGGAACTGTTATATATAAATGCAGGGCATGTTAATTTTTGACAATACCTATTAAATGTGGTCTTTTACAATTAGGCTCCTCAATCAGATCTGCCATACTAACAACAGTTAATCAGTAGCACACTATAGACTCTTGAGTACAGCAAACTTAGCAAGGCAGCAGGAAGAGATCCTCAAAAGCACTGTGCTATGTGACAAGCACTGGGCCATGTGACTGTGACATCACTAGCAAATTCGTGCATGCACGTGCTAACTTATTAATGGGTGGAGTACACTGAGTCATGTTTCTTACAAGATCAAAAGTTCAAAACCACAACTTTTTTTGAATGTTGCTAAACTAGCTATATGCATCGCATCACATAATTATCGTTCCTTATTTTACTGAATTTCAAATAAATGTTATAACTAAAATAGAGTGACCAGGTTGTCGTCTTTTAATGTCATTACTTCTCTGCCTATTAAAAAAGAAAGAATAATATTATGTCAATGTGCACATTTTCTTCTAACTTGTTTCAGTTTTGTTTTAACTTGAACAGTGACCTTCTTTCCATCAGACTGCCTCACAATTTTACTATACACTCTCTCTCCATCTTCCTCCTCCTCGTCATTCTTTCCTTTCTCCTCTTCTTTCTTCACAGGTATTGGTACCTTGCCACTAGTCTCACCAATCTGGAGCAAGGCACCGGCCCAGTTTAAAACTAACCTCTTGAACCTAACAAAAGTACAATATCAAAATAGAATCAATATTTGATCAAAATCAGAATCAGCATTGATCAGAGATCACTGTACCTCGGGATCAGGGTCTTCCTCTTCTAGTGATCTTGATCTTGATTGATATTTGCGATACTGTACAGCAGACCCTTTAACATCACCATTATTGTACAGAGCAATAGCATAATTGAGATGTAAGAGTGGTTCATCCCTATACACAAGATAAAGAGTCACAGATACAATATAAAGCATTTTACCGTTTGAGTAGAACTGCTTGCCCGTAAGCTCTCAAAGCATTCTCAGAATCATCTAAATGAGCTAAAGCAACTGCAATAGAGATAGATATAATCAGGATATTACCAG